CCCCCCCGCCCCGCCTTCGTCGCATCACATACTACAGTCGAATCTCCCGAATCGCATTGGGATGTCGAATATGACATATACTCCGATTGGACGACATGGCTTCCCGTACCACAATCTGGCCGCGCCCGTGCTTTCCGGAGGCGACTTTTTGGGCGTCTCCTGAACCTGCGACTGAGAGAAGCTCGGAACTCATACTCCATTCCCCTCAAGCTGTATTCTTGTAGGATTCTCAAGATGTCAGCTTCTATCTCATCGTCCCACAGGGCCACTTGGGGCGCATTGCAACGCCCCTCGGAGTACTATCATAATTTTGGCCCTACGCTGAACGAACTCTCGTTCGGTCTCCTGGGGTGGTCATTCCAACCTCAGCGGGACATTGTTGACCTCTCGGGGAAGGTCATTCTTGTTACAGGAGGTATTTTCCATTTTTGTCTCCATCAATCATCAATGTTAGGGGTGCATGCTAATCTTCACCACTTGGGATAGGCAACACTGGCCTCGGAAAGGAAACCATCGTCCAACTCGCCCAACACAATCCATCCCGCATCTACCTCGCCGCGCGTAATGAGTCCAAAGCTCAGGATGCCATTGCCTCGATCCGGGAGAGCCTCCCATCCGCAGTCGACATCAGATACCTACCCCTCGACCTGGGATCACTGAAATCGATCCGCGCCGCGGCCGAGCGCTTCCGTGCGGACTGCGACCGTCTGGACACCCTGATCCTCAACGCGGGCACGATGAACAACCCGACCAAATTCACCGAGGCCGGATTCGAGCTGCATATGGGTACGAATCACATCGGACACTTCCTGCTCACCACCCTGCTGCTACCGATCATGCAGAAGACCGTGGCGCTTTCTCCGGACGTCCGCGTCGTGTCTCTGAGCTCGGCTGCCAACGCGGGCAGCCCCTCATTCGAGGTCATGACTTCCTCGTCCGCTCTGGCAGAGACTTCAGGCATGGTTCGATACTGTGCATCCAAGGCGGCGAACATCCTCTTTGCGGCCGAGTTGGCCCGCCGGTATCCGGAGATTCTCTCCGTCGCGGTGCACCCGGGCGTGGTGGCTAGTGACCTATACGAGCATACGATGCAGAGGAATCCTGTCTTCAATCTGGGGCTGAAGGCCATCAAGAGTGGATTCTGTCGGTCCCTGCGCACGGGGGCGCTGAACCAGCTGTGGGCTGCGGGAGCGAAGCGGGAAACGCTGGTTAACGGCGCTTACTATGTGCCTATTGGCGTCCATGCCAGTGGAAATCCGTATGCCAAGGACGTGAAGATGGGGAGGCGTCTGTGGGAGTGGACAGAACAGCAGATTGCTGAGAGGAGCTGATTCCCTCTGATTATTGCCTTCCGTGACTGATGACTTTTCGCATTGTAGCATAGCGTTTCTGATGGGCAGAGATCTTCATCAATAGCTCTTGTGAACTTGATTGTAAATATGTGATTGTAGGAATAAAGTCACGAAGTATATCAAATAGTGATGCTACGTCATGCCGGTACCTCATTGAGACCATTGGGAAGGGGCCGGCGGGCGCGGGAACATCAGATTACCCGAATAGGAATGAGATGCCGGGGCTCGGGAGGTGAATACCCAGGGTCCCTGATACAAGTAATTAGCCACCACTGGCTACATCTTAGCTCAATACAGTTGTTTAGATGATCATTCCATTCAATGCAGAAGTTCTGCCAATACTAAGTGCGCCGACGAGCTGCCATGGACCCAGTACTGCGCTATGCGTTCGATCCGTGACACCGATCGCCAAATGGTTTACTAGCCGTGGGCAGCGGGCGATCGTTAGGGTTTAGCCGAGGAGCCTCTCTAAACTCCCTCATCGAGTTTTTCGCCCACAACCACCACCATGGCAGATCTCCGATCACGATGATAGTAGCAGATCCAAACCATTGAGGATGTAGCATGTAACCATAACCATCATTGTAGAAGCTTTAGGAGCTATGCGTAGTGTAGAGGGCCATGCGACTCTTAGCGAGGGGCGCGGTGGTCTCGCCGTGTCGGCGTTGCTCCCCACACAAACCCGCCCGGCGCATCATCAGCAACGGTTGCTGCTGCTTGCGTTCACCACCACCTCGTTGTTCCTCCCACTTCCACTCCTTCTCCTCTTCTCCCTCAGCACCATTCATCATCATCTTCGGTAGGCCCTCCCCCCCCTCTCTCCTCTGTTTTTGCCAGCCTTATCACCAGAATTCTTGCTCGTCGCCCATTTGGTCCGTGACTTTAACGAAGAAACCCAATTTTCCCTTTTATCCCACCCGACCGAGAAAAGTGTCACGTCGCTCTCACCTGACCTCTCCACCCACTTCCATCACCACCACTACTACCACTACCACCAAACCACCACCACTATTCCCAAGACCTCCACCGCACAAATTCCACGAATCTTACCGAACGTACATCTCTGACAAGTCTTCTTTGATTTTCGCTTCTAGGTTCAGGTTCGAACGACCACTCAATTACCTTCACAATGGATCAGGCAAAGTTGGCTCGGATGCAGGCTAGCGTGCGGATTGGTATGTGCCTTTTTTGAATCTTCTGTCATAATTTTCCCCGTCGACCCCGATGCCCCTCCCCTCCCTCGTCATGTTGAAGGCCAGCTCCCAGCTGCTATGGCTTTTCCTCGCCAACGTAGAGCTCCTTGACCATCGCAAGTCCTCTGCATGAGAAAAGACTCGCGCGACTTGCGTTCTACCCCAATCCTTTTTGGATCTTCAAATTACCTAATGTTTTCTCAATGGATAAGTGTTTGCTGACATATCTCTCTTCTGCGCTTGGTAGGGTACGTATCTCCAAACACCTTCAAGCAATTTCAATGTCTCTTGTGCACCCAGAGCACCGTTCAACCATTCATCCTGTTCCTTCAACATGCAGAATGAAGCGCGCCCGCCCCACCGCCAAAATTCAGCCCGCAATTTCGACCCCTCCCCCTCTTCTCACACATGACAAATATCACTATCGATCGAACCATCGCTAACCTTGTCCCCCCCAAAACAGAGGCAAGGGTACTCCCCGCCGCAAGGTCAAGAAGGTCCACAAGTCCTCCGGTGCCGATGACAAGAAGCTCCAGGCCACCCTGAAGAAGATGAACGTCCAGCCCATCCAGGCCATCGAGGAGGTCAACATGTTCAAGGAGGACGGCAACGTCATCCACTTCGGTGCCCCCAAGGGTAATTTTCTCTTTCTTTGCTGCTCACCACTACAAACCAATACTAAACTCCTGTCTCCCAAACAGTCCACGCCTCCGTCCCCTCCAACACCTTCGCCCTCTACGGTAACGGCGAGGAGAAGGAGCTCACCGAGCTCGTCCCCGGTATCCTGAACCAGCTCGGCCCCGACAGCCTGGCCTCCCTCCGCAAGCTCGCCGAGAGCTACCAGAACATGCAGAAGGCCCAGGGCGCCGAGGGCAAGAAGGACGATGAGGAGGATGACATCCCCGACCTCGTCGAGGGCGAGAACTTCGAGAGCAACGTCGAGTAAAATTTGAGATTCTAATATAACGAATATTACTTCTGTTGTTTATTTTTGTCACGTGTGTGGGTTGGTGTCTGGCGAAGGCACCTCTCTGAACCTCTATGCGTGTGTGTCGGTCCCCGTGAAGGGACGATCTGCATTCTATCAGTACTACTACTTACTACCCCCTCTTCAAGAAGCTGGAGTTTCTTTTAGTTTGCGGGATTTTCGAGATCTTGTCTTTTACCATTTCGGAAAAAAATCTAGGTTGAGGTCCTGATTTGTTCGGGGTCAAATTTACCATTGAAACAGAATCAAAACTGCGTCTGTGGGATGTATTGAGAATACTGGTGGTCAATTTCGGTGGTTGGCTTTTCATGTATTGCAGTCTGTATCTGTTTTGGGTAAGTTACTCGTGAGTATTATGGCTCAAGCTATAGATCGGCAGTCGATCCGAGTGTACAGCATTGTAAGGGTTGCACCTGCATTACATAGATGTTACCGGTAGTGTTGGCTCTACGTCAGCCAGCTAGTCAACCTACATAGGTTCTCTCAGCAGGAGAATCCTCTTTGCCGAATATATGCAGACGTCCTTTCATTACCTAGTAGTCTGTCTATACGCAAAAAATCCATGTGCCTATGCATTTAGCCCCTCCTCTCCACGCGCGTAAATAAGTGCAAGCAAGCAAAAGATCCATAACGCCCTTTTTTCACTCATCAAACACTACAACCACAAAAATGCAAGTAGAAATGGAAAGTTCCTCAACAGAGAAGACGAGCAAAGAAGAAGAAGACTAGGCGGGGAGATATGAATGCAACTTGAGACCAGACTTTTTACTTTTCTCCCTTGTTTGCTCTCGATGTAGAGATATCAAGACGTTTGAGCAACCACCGTTGGTTGGCACAGACATGAGAGAGGGTTTATAGTACAGGATAGATATGGTGTTTTTGCTTGCGCAGTTGCCACCAGCTAGTCTGGGCCCGTGTGTCTGTCTGTCTTCTTCCAGTTTTCTAGCTACGAGTCAACATCGACATCATCTCAATCCCAGGAGAACGGGCGGCGGGGGTCCAATTCCTTCAGCCCCATCGAGGAGCCGGAGTATTGGAGGGCTTTTGTTGTGGTGGTGGTATCATCGTTGGGGTTCTCGATGGCTTCCAGCGGTGTTCGCGAGAAGAGGGGGCCTTTATCTGGGAACGCAGAGCGGTGGTGTAATTGTTGTTGTGGTGGTTGATGGGATTGCGCTGCGGGAGATGCAGTGGCCGTGGTCGTTGCTGCGGCGGCCGCTGTGGCGGACGTTGCGACAGCTGCCTCCGACGACTCTTCCTTCAGGCCGCAGATGTCTGAGCCAATGAATTGGTCGATCATGTACCAGAACCGCCAGTAGGTGTTGGACTTGTCATAGTCGAAGGCGCCGTCCTCGCGCAGTTGCGGGCCGTCGCCCACGATATCGCCCGTGAACCAGCTGAGGATGGGGATGGAGCGCAGCACCCGTTCCGTCAAGGTGGGCTGCGGCGGGAGGGCCTCGGTCAACGGCCGCAGTTTCGTCCGCCGCACCGTGGGGATATGGGTCATGAAGTCGGATTCGGGTTTGGGTGGTGGCGCAGCGGAGGGGGTGGTGGTGACGGAGCGCTGCTGCTGCTGCAGCAGAGGAAAGCTGCTACCTGTCGGCGGCTGCTCGAGCCCCATGGCTGTGGTCGAGCTAGCCGTCGGCGTGGAGTCCATCGAGTCCCCTTCCTCAGCCATCAGATCCGCCGGCACCGAGGAGGACAGGTTGCCGAAGGCAAACGACCGGGGCAAGGTCTGGCGCTCCTTGTCGGAGCCCGTGGGCAGGAACGCGGTGGAATGCGAGGTCGTCAGCGTGCGGGGCGCCTTGGACTGCTGCACGCGCAGCGCCTCCGCCGACCCGGCCACGATGGGCGCATCCTCCGCGGGGCCGCGGCCATGGTACAGCTCACAGAACACCAGGTGCCCGTCGATCTCCTGCGGCGAGAAGAAACACGCGCGGTCCGCCGCCGTCGTCGAGTCGAACGTGACTTTGATCCAGTGGTACCCGCCCGCGTAGCGCTTCGACTTCCGGTTCGCATCCGCCGACAGCCCCGTCCGGATCACCACGTCCCCGCCGCTCAGCAGCTGCGAGAACCCCGTCGGCGCGTGCGGATCCGTCCGCGGGTAGTCCTCGCAGATAAACCCCTGCGAGATCCGCTCGTACTTGTCCAGCACCTTCCACTCCCCGTCCTTGCTCTTGTACCCGTACAGGATGCACTCCGTCGCGACCTTCTCCGCTTCTTGTTGCTGCTGCTGCTGCTGCTGTTGTTGTTGTTGTTGCTGTTGCTGCTGTTGCTGCTTGCGCAGGCTCTCCACGTTCGACGCCGACGCGGATTTCGGTAGCGTGTGGCTGTGCACCTTCTCGTCCTCCTGCTGGGCCGCGAACAGGCGCCCGAACTCCGTTACGTTGGGGTTCTCGCGCTTGGCCGCCGGCGTGCCGGTGCGGGTGCGCGACCGTGTGTGTTCGTACCGGGCGTTGCGGCGCTTGCCGAATGGGCCTGATTCCTCGGGGGCGCGGCGTGGATTGCGGGATTCGCTGTGAGAGTTCCTAATTAGCATCGCTTGCTTTTCATGATCCCCCAGAAGGATTCCATGTATCTGTGAGGGAACCTCCCCGGCAAGGATGTGCGCTGGTTCCCACTTACTCCTTGTAAACATAACCCCAGGGTAAAAGCTCGCCCTTCTCATTTCTTGCACGCTCCTCCGGGGGGACAAAGTGATATTCCATGCTGACACGGGGAAATTTTTCGAAATGCGCTTTTTCGTAACTTGGAAGAAAGAGGCCAGAGTTATGGCGGTCAATGCAATCGCTGAGAAAGAAGGATGTGCAAATAGAAAACAGGGCTGGAGAACGGGGTGGTTTGATGGAAGTGGAGTGATGAAGCTTGGATAACCACCAGCCCAAAAGTTTTGGGGTTTCCGCCGCCCCATAAACAGTCGTGTTAGCCGGGATACCGTCACGTGAGGGGGGACGGTCTTGGTATGTAGATTGGAGAGCGTAGATTGGGTATGAATTGGACAGCTTGTTTTACGTATTTGTAAGTGCGAAGTTTGTCATTTGGCTTAGATTAAGAATATGGGGTCTCTCTGTGGATTGTTCTTGGGCGTTTTGTTTGACAGTTGGGAGGTGCTGTCGAGATTCTTGTGCCAATGACATATTTTTCGTCGAGTCTGTGATCTGCTTCCTCTTTATGAAGGAATGCTTTTAAGACGTTCCGTCTCACAATTGAAGGCCAATGATGCCTCGCCAATCTCGAGGATGATTGTGACGATTTTTACAGTCTCCATCATGCATAAGAGCAATAAGCCTTAAAAAGTGATTCGACTAATCAATTGTTGGATCGATACTCATGACAATATCCCGAAACGCAGTGACTCTGCCTATACTACAAATTTCAGGACCTCAACCACAACGCATATGGTATGTTATTGGCCAGAAGCTGCACCCATTACCATCAAGCAAATTATACATCTAGTCTTGCCACAGGAAAGTAATCTGTCCAGGATCCCCAGCGAGACCGCAAACAGTGCCGAAGTCTCCTACCTCCAACCGCCTCCTGTCAACATAACCCACAAAATCCCCCAAAGGACAAGACAGCCCTGGCCCGGATTTACAGTATGGCAGCGGCGTTACCTTCTCATTGATAACCACTCGTAGGAAGGTACGCCCAGCATCGCCATGTGCACCCTCACCCCCGGACGAGCAGGTCATCCGCTCCAGGACGACCCGGCCACCCATGGGCATTACCGATGAAGTGCGCCAGACCCGATCCGACACCATATGAGTAACCGGGAGCACCGGATCATACTTCGGATCAGCCATGATCTCCAACGCCGTCAGAAAGGGCGCGATATCTCCATCATGCACACTAATTCACTCGGAAGTCAATTTTCCAGCCAGGTCTTCCACTTTCACAAGTGCCCAACTCACAAACTAAAGAACAAGGTCCCAGCACCGGGCCCTTGCCTTAGAAGTCCCGTCGTAGCATTCAGCCAAAGCCACCCCATCGCCCCAGCGTAGGGGTTTCCGGGCCCCGCGCGATAATAGTGCAGCACGTCGCGCGCATACTCGAAATTCTCCCAGTCCTCGCGCGTGAACACCGCGCACCAGGGACTCGACCCGCGCACCAGCGTCTCGAACCCGCACATCTCCTGCATACTGTAGACTTCGCCGTTGCTCAACGGCCCGAGCGCGGGATTATTTGCCTGCGTGGTGAGCAACAGTCGCTCCGCGATCGCGGGGATGTAGGCTTGCTGGAACCGCGCGAGCATCTGGATCCCGTAGTCATGGCCGCGGTCGGGGTCCTCGAGGTATCGGAGGCAGGTGTCCCCCGGGGTGAGGGTGTCCGCGCCGCGGTCGAAGGTCTCGGGGATGACTTCGAGGGTGGCTTTTGCGGAAGGTTCTGCTTGCCAGCCTGGAGGGGAGGACGACGCTGACGGTGACCCGAAAAGCCCGGATGCGAAGTGTTGGGCGGTCTGGATGACGCGGTTGCAGTCGCTGGCCCAGAGCTTGAGTCGCGACGACCGGTTGCTGGTCAGCAGGTGTTTGTAGCGGGCGGAGAAGTGGAGGCCTGTGGTGTGGCTTTGGAGAGTGCCGGCGTAGGGACCTGTGGTGGTCAATTGGTCGAAATCGGTGGATGGGTCGTCGGTGAAATAGGTCCAGTTGTTGAGGAATGATAGGCTCCCATTCAGTTTGACGTTGGCGTCCCGGATGCGTTTGAGGAGCGCAATGTGGCCTTTGAATGGTCGTTGGTGTTGCTGTTGTCAGCGTATACTGACTGCAGTGAGTACTGTAGCTATGGCGGGAACAAACGTACGGCCTCCGGCTGATCGCGTCGGGTACCGCGCCCCGTGGCGTGACATCTAGTCAGAGGTTAACCGACCTTGTATAAGATGACTCGAATGCGTATATAAGGAGGGATTGATACCATGTGCACCTGGTCAATGACGCATCCATCGAGGTCGGGCCCAAAGCTTTGCGAGTAGTGTACACCGCCACGCTTCTCGATCCAGGGTCCATTACCCCCCAAGTGATGGAGAATATTCCAATCGTCATTCTGAGATTGCTCAGTTGTACTCAGAAGACCAAGGAGATATCGTGGTAATTGAAGCAAGGTGTTCTGACTAGAATGAAGTGACGAAGCCAAGAAGAATGGGCCATCCCCGGGATCGAGCCATCTTTCGATAGTGAACAAACCGTCATGGTTGCTAATGATGACGATTATGAATGGGACAAGCAATGTCCCAAGAGATAGACCGCGAAGCATGGCCGTCGCAAGCCTCCCTGGGAATTAAAGGTACGCCTGAGGCTGTGTTGTAACAAGTGAAACCAGCGCATGCAGCAACCGCCGGGCTGGGTTCTCGCAAGATCGACGAGCGGACCCGCCAAGAAGTCCGTTCTATCACCGCCGAGACCAGTTCTTCATTTGATATTCATTATGTTTCTCTACTAGTGGGTCAAACTCCGAATGATATGTACCTTCGATAGATAAGTAAGATTACATGGTATCGGTCAAGTGCTATAAACAAAACGAGGACTCTTGTCTCCTAGCTCTTCAATGGCTTCATCAGTCATGCCCGCAACCTTGTCGTCTTCCAAGCCCTGTTGTCTTCGCTGATTCTTGCAGTGGTAGTACCACCACATGAGCCCATAGACCACACCAGCAAAGCCAACCAGAGCGAGCGTGACCGCATTGCCGCGCACATAGCGCGGTGCTTCCTCGGTTTTGTACAGGAAAGGGGACATGACGCCACTGATGTTTCCAAACGTCAGCTGCAGACCCGTCGCAAACGTCCGCTTCCCATATCGCGGCAGCGTGGTCGGTAGCCATGCAAGCGGCAGCCCCACGGTCACATATAGCCCCAGGGCGATAAGCAGTGCGCCGAAGTAATGTACCCCGGATGATGAGTCGGAGATCAAGACCCCGTACCCGACAACAGAGATCACAGCGAAGATGCAGACGAAGATCCCACGGCGCTGGGTCCGATCGCTGATCCAGGCGACCAGTAGGTATACAATGGCGCCAAGCGCATAGCACGGAATGGTCAGTGCCTGAACTTCAGCAGTGGACCACTTGCCCATTCCTTTGATGATCGTGGGCAGAAAAGTGCTGTAGCCGTAGAGCATCGTGTCGACTCCAAATTGGGCAATGCAGAATGCGTAGATCCTCCAGTCCAACGCGCCCTCCTTCACATCCGCCCAGTGAAACTTCTGCGCGGACGGAGTCTGGCCGACATGGCGACGACGCAGACGGACGACCATGGCTTTCTCGTCGTCAGTGAGATAGTACGCTGTATCAGGCTCGTCGGCGAGAAAGAACCAGGTCAAAATACCCAGGATGACGGTGGGAATCCCTTCGATGATCATGATCCATCGCCAGCCCCGCAGCCCCGCGACGCCATCCATGAAGCCAATGCCGTACGCAAGAAGACCCCCGAAGGCACCAGCGGCTGCGGCGCTGCTGAATAAATAACCAGTCCGGAGTGCGATCTCCCGCTTGCTGTAGAACAGCGTGAGATAAGTCATCAATCCCGGAAAGAGCCCAGCCTCAACAACACCTAATGACATGAGCATGAGAGTTGAGACGAGAAGCGAGCGCATTAGACTGACCTAGAAGTACACGGCAGGCGATCAAACCGCCATAACTCTGCGTGATACCCGTCAAGGTAGCTAGAATGCCCCAGATGATTGAGATTGAGGCAATGTACCGCGAGGGCCTGAGCTTCTTGATCACCAAGTTGGACGGGACTTCGAACAGCTTCGAATAGATGTCAGTGGTTGCGTCTGACTAACTGGTCTCAATGGGAGCGTACGCAGTAGGTAACAAACAGAATGGATACTGCGACCTGATACTGATTGCCCACTAGGCCTAGATCTTCTTCCATGCCATACAAGCGGGCATTGCCAATGTTAACTGTTGGATCGCATTAGCAACAGCTTTTAGACCGCCAGCGAGCCTGGTGAAAGATATCAACTGCATGGGATAGACCCACCTCGATCCAAAAAGCTGAACAAGTACAGAAGCACAACGAAGGGGATGATGTGGATGTCTATTTTCCATATCAAGTGGCGTGCCCCTTTTTCGTCTGACAAAGATAAGTCCGATCTATCATCGCCATCTACGCCCAACGAAGCCCGTGTGGGAGGTCGTGCTTCGGCGTCTGCCTTGGGCTCTCTGTTGTAATCCATGGGAGGTGGTGGTGGTGATTGATGGCTGCCTCGGCTGGGATCCCCGCAGGTGTGTCTGGGCGCTCAGATGAACTTCCCCGTGGGGTAATCTATAACAGCACCATGTATCAGAATACAGTCGAGGGTATCGCAACTCAGGTATCAGAGAAGGCAGGAGACCACGTACACTGACAGCCGTCACACCTACTACGCTGCAAGTGAGAGGAGGTAAAAAGTGCCCTAGAAAAATTGAGAGATTTCTAATTGCAGTGGCCAAGGATCGCCAAGGATCTAGACCCGATAATTCTTTCCCTTTTTTCTTCTGCAGTTCAGGTGAACAGATTGGGATGGTTCATTGAGAAGACTTATGAAAGTGTCCTTTTGCCATGAGATAGTCGCATGAAATCAATAGCATGGACGAGTTTGTATTGTTGGGTGGGCGTTGTTGGTGATGCGTCTTAAAAGACCCTGAGCTGGATCGTCCTTGAACAAAACTTAAAATGGATGGCGATTTGCACCAGCTCCATGGCTCACAACACGGGCCAACATTCTTGGCAATGCAAGGATGCAATAGTCAGAACCTGCATGATAGACTAATGATCTGTTGCAGATGATCAGATCTGCACTCGTCAATCACTAGTGAGAACGTCACTGTGATGCGCTCGAACAATCGACTTTCCACTCATCCCTGTCCCAAGGAGGATAAGAGCACCATGATCTATGCGAAAAAAAAAACCACGTACTTGTAGGAGCTACAAGCCGCCACAACCTCTAGCCAAGCTGTTGATACGCAAGCACTGCCTTGTCAAGCGCCCTGTAATGCGAATCGTTGACAAGACTCTCACCCAAATATTAGCATTCAGAGTGTGAGTAAGACAATGCCAGCCTGATCCAGAGCATGTAACTAGAGAAACTGGTCATCGGCTTGCTTTATACGAACGTTGCACGGGGATACCACTGCATCGATTTCTACACTTGATCAAATGCCGTAGATAAGAGATTAGAGTGGTCACTGCTTCAAGCAGCGGCACTGGAGACTCCTTAGCTGTCATTCTTTTCGAATTCCAGCGACCTCTAGTGATGAAGTTGCTGTCACTCCTACAGCCAAGTATCATCGCGCGGGCTTCTGAGCTGATCCTGACTGCGTACCCACTGTTTCTGATATTTGTGTCGATCTAGTGCCTTCAAGCTTTGAGTTGATGCGGAATGTACACTCCCAGTTGCATGGACCAGATACTGATCGGCCTGTGGTGAAAAGACGACATTCAAAGAGTGAACCCGAGAGTCATCATCAAATGACGCTCTGAGAAGTGTGGATGGCAATCGAATAGTTTATCAGATGATTTATAGTCGTACGAGAGGTTCCTCAATTTGGACGTGACTAGTTGAACTTTCGTAAAGATCGGTAAAGCTTGTTGAAACGAGCGAGAATACGTATCGAAGCAAACGGGTCAGTAACTTCTGCGCGCGATTGATATCAAGTTGACATGACGTCAAGGATCATCTTGTAATATCGAGGTATTCAGCATTATGTCTGCTCTCTTGTCATTTCATGCACACGATGAAATAGTTGAAGATCCCAGGTTAGGTCAATATGAGCAACTCAGGCTGAATCATACCATAGCCGTGGCCCAACATGTCTCAAACTCATAGGATCTACCAGCCCGAGATCTACTCCCAAGGAGCCACATCAGGCGTCACTCCTGCCGTCGCCATAGATCCTCGTCAACTTGAAGAGTAAGCAAAGACAGCCCTGGGAGTCCGTGGCTTCAACTATATTGCGGGTGGAGCACGAGAAAAAGCCAGAATGGTCAGACAGCAATCGGCTGGCGTTTCTTCAATGAATGATGTTAGGTCTATTCCCGCGCAGCTGAAAAGCCGAATTGGGGAAATAGTATCGCATTGAAGTCCCCGAAATGCTGACGCAGGCGGGCTGAGGATTCACCTATCTGTGATCATATGCAGGTTGCTCATTTCTTATAGATGGAAAACCAGCATATCTCAGATCTTTCTGTAGAGAAATATTCCAATCCTCTTCTTGTGACGTCTGTTGGTTTGCAATCCATAGTCTATGAAGACAAGGAGATAGGACCTGCAGAGGCATGTGGGAAGATTGGGTCCCGTGTACATTTAGCACAGCCAGCAGCAGCTCGATTGAAGACGAGACGAAAGCCAATGCTGACGGCAAGTGATGGTTTCAGCTGTACTGGCCAGTGGATGACATAACAACCTCCTCGTTGACACGTGCAAAGGACAACGGCTTCAGCATCCTTATAATCACTCTGGACACCCGGTCGCTCCCTTGGCGACCAGCTGACGTGGACAATGCCTATGTCCCATTCATCAAGGGAATGAGGAACGAGATCGGCTTCACCGACCCAGTATTCCGCGCCAAATTTGAGAAGGAATCTGGCTGGAGAATCGAAGAAGACATTCTGGGCGTATCGAGATAATGGAGCTCGCAGATATTCTCAGTGCCCCACACACTTGGGATCAGCTTGGTTTTCTTGGGAAGAATTGGGACGGACCGCTGCTCCTGAAGGGAATTCAGCATGTGGGTGATGCAAAGCCTGCCGTGGAGGCGGGCTGTGATGGCATGGTCGTTTCCGATCATGGAGATAGCATGTCTCAATATCACATGGGATCCCTACGCTAATCATCGCTGCCTACCGGTAGGCCGACAAGTTGATGCCGCATTCGGCTCTCTGGAGGTACTTCCCGAGGTGGTTGATGTAGTCTGGGACAAGCCAACAGTTCTCTTTGTCATCAAAGCACTCCGTCTAGGAGCAAGGCAATCTATTATCCCAGTCAATTATGGGCTAAGTGTCGATGGGAAGAAGTGTCGATGGGAAGAAAGATCGTTATCAGAGGGCTCTTGGCGGATGTTTGGCAAAACATGGGGCTATTGGGGTTTCGGTCTGTGACGGAACGCTACCGCGACAGGATCCGAAAGGTAGTGTATCCGGGGGACAGGCACGCTATGATGTAAGAAAGTCAATCGTAGTCTCACTATTATTTCTTGAATGGAAACAGACCAGGTGGAACAATGAAGTGTGTTTACTTGAAGAGAGTTTGCGAAGACTGATTAGATCAAGGTACCAACCGTACCTACTGGACCGGTGTTGCGCTAACAGGAAGAGCCGGAGGATCACATGTCAACCTATTGCCGGCATGACCCCTTAGGAAGTGATTGGTTCTATCCATGATTGCTTCCTTCAGTCGCCACTTGCGCCCAATTCCAGGTCGCAATTCTGGCTTTTTCATCAACCAGGAACCCCTCCCCCAGCGCAACATTCGATGTTCTGTTTGACCAGAAAAAACCCCTGTTAAACTTTGAGTTCCTGCGACAACTGCGGCGCGACTTTCTCTCTTTCTCACCCCAACATATTCGACTTTTTGCCCATGGCTGAAACGAAATTCACGGCACATCGGTCAAAGCGGGTCAATTCGACTGCGATTCTGATGGGTTGAGATGTCTAGACTCTTCAGTCTCCGGAAAGCATGGAAACGGGATGATATCGAGCAGGCATACGAGCAAGTCGGTCGTGAGAATGACACCCGCCACGTTCCAGCTACGTCCGGCTTGCCTCTCCTTCCGAGGCCGCTTGCCTCTATGGTATCATTCATGACTCAGTCGACTTCATTATCTCTTCGAATTGGGTCATTTGTCGGAGGCGCTGCAATAGATGGTGCGAGAACTACGACATTGACCGGGCTGGAGCTCAGCAGAGCAATACTAGAGGGGATTTTGACAAGGGCTGGGCGCGATGTTGTCATCAGGAGCAGCGGAGAGTATGGCAAGGCAGAAGCAGAGTCATTACTCGAACGGAGCGTACGTCGTCCTTGCCGTGTTTTATCTTTATCAGGCTGACATTCGATTTAGCTGGCTACTTTGCATTCCACAATAACCTCGGCATCTTTTTTCGCCGCTGCCTCGTTTCAATTCTCCTCAGCTACACTCTCATCAGCAGCCAACATGTCTCAGTCACTACTCTCCACATTAGATGCAACCCTTGGCTCTACTGAATCGTCTAGAGCTATTGCTGCAATTGTAACCCTCTTCCGGAGCGAGCTCCGAGACCTCAACGATTCCGAATTCGGGACCGAACTTCGAGCCGGAAGAATTGGTGTCGCAGATCTATTGGTTGGCTGTGTTGGATTTGCACTGCTCCAGCGCTGGGGCCGAAAGAACACAGAACGGCATGCACGTGGAATCGGGGGTGTGGAATCCGTATGGGACGTGGTTATCCTGGACAATGGCGTGAGAGCAGATGTTGTTAGTACACATCAAATGGAACAGCCGAGGGCTGCTATTGATGAACCGCGTGACGAGACAAATCGCTCATCATTCATGAGTACTGGGAACGATGAAGAAGTTTTCGATGCTGTACAGCGACCAGCAAGCATCATTGATTCCGCAGAAAGGTCCCACTTCTCTCTTCCCACGGAGAACTCACATCAAATCTTCGATGATGATATCCGCTTGTACATCATGAGACAATTGCCTCAAGGTTGCCGTGCTTCTATAAGAACCGACATGGTGCATGCCAGGACTATTACGGTTGAAGTATTTGATGATGACATTGGAGAAATAGCTGCTCCACCAGGTACAATGATGATCGAGGAGAGACACCATGATGGTAACCTCTCCAGATCTTCTAGCCAGGGTCAGCTTCCTAAACATACGATGGTATTCAGGACCGCCTTCACCAGGTCTAACAATGCCGATGTGAGACCAGCCAGTCATCAAGACAGCATGGCATGGCAGGTGAGTGACGAATGGGAACTTTCCCGGTCGCATCGAAACCTCGGGGATCCGTCCTTCGCCACAATAGGAAACAGTCTTGACGACCCATCAAACGATAGGCTGATGACCACAGAGCAGCTTTCACCCGAGGATCGCTCAGAGGATCCCACTATCAGTAAAACTCGAAGTGTCAACCCGAATCCTGTCAAGCTTGATCGCGGGAATCCAGACCCTTCGTCTCTCAATAAGCGAGCAGCCACATTTAAAGATAGTCCTGTGAAGTCTTCTCCCGCGAAAGGAGCGCAAAGGGTCAAGTCTAGCAATATTGGTAAAAAGGATATTGGCAAGCGCCCATCCACGAAACTATCTGCAGAGAAAGTAAAGCCCCCACCATCGTCCGAAAACGCAATTCCACAAGGGAGACCTCTAAAGGGAGCAGCGAACGCGCGAAAGACAGCAGCACAACAGAGTACCACCAAATCCGACCGCAGCGGGGCTCACGAAGCAGCAGCGACATCACCAAAACGCGGACCATCATCACCTGTAGCAAACAGAGGTTTGCCCAGAACCCCGTTGCAAGAGCATCGTGTGAAACCCGCGGCTTTTCCAAAGACGGGCCGTCCTGAAGCCCGCGAGGGTAGCCACACAGGCAATTCAAGAACGGAGTATTACGCCGTGCGCGAAAAGTCAGAGGAATCTCTTGTTAACCAGACGAAGATCTATGCTCAAGAACCACCAAACACACGACCCGGGTCCCCTGTCACAAGAAGAACCCATGTGCGTAGTAGCAGTTCTCTGTCACTGACCAGGTCGGAAAGTGATGCGACCATCTACATTAATAAGGATGGCCGTCCCAGCTCCTCTATGTTGTACCATCGCACTCGAGCATCATCCCCGAGCATATATTCTCTTGCCACAGCGGGGTCTGAAACATCACTTCTACTCGCCCATCGTCCTCGGAAAAGTGCTTATGATGATATAGAAGCACTTCAAAGCTTGAACCGGGATGGTACCGTGCCCGGCATCTTCCCTGCAAAGCACTTTGTGCAGAACATCAGACGTTTTTGCAGATTCTCCTCGGCTTCATATGGATCGCATGCCTTGAAGGTCATGGGTGTTCCGCGCCTGACTAGTGCTCTACCCACCGAAGAGGTATCTAGCCCGGAACATAGTGATTTCTCTGATCACACAGGCTTGCCGGCTTCCACGATCCTCTTGTCCTCCTTCGTCGACTCTGCGGGTGGAACTAACGCCGCAGGGGAAACGGAAAGCGGTATTCCTTTAGTACACTACCTTTTCCTTGACCATGAATCGAAAGCAGTTGTTCTGACTCTGCGAGGGACATGGGGTTTCGAAGATATTCTGACCGACATGACTTGCGAGTACGATGACCTTGAGTGGCAAGGTAGGAATTGGAAAGTCCACAAAGGAATGCACGCTTCGGCCAAGCGTCTTCTGATGGGAGGAGGAGGCCGAGTCATGTTGACGATCAGAGCTGCACTAGAGGAATTTCCAGAGTATGGGCTGGTACTGTGTGGACATTCGCTCGGGGGAGGCGTTGCTGCACTCCTTGCAACAATGATTTCCGAACCCAGCAGTGATGCTTTTGGGGCATCGTTCACAACCACTTCCTATCAGACCACGAACTCGGGTTCATCTGATAGCGATGATCAATCCTTTGGCAAAGCCTTCTTTGTGCCCCCCGGCCGGCCTATCCATGTCTATGCATACGGTCCTCCCGCGACAATGTCGCCTTTCCTGCGTCGCGCAACGCGGGGATTGATCACTACCATTGTTAATGGTCAAGATGTGGTTCCTTGTCTCTCGCTCGGCATTTTGCATGATATGCATACAGTAGCTGTGGCGTTCAAGGGTGACATCTCTGGCGCTCGCTCTCATGTGGGATTTCGAGTTTGGGAAGGCTTCAGGCAAAGTATTGTGAACAAGTTCTACGTCAACGAGCCGCCTATCCTCACACACGCCGGTCATGGCGTAGGAGAAGATGCGTGGGCATGGAATACATTGAAGACGCTTCGTGAGGAAATGAGCGCGCCCAAACTGCTACCACCCGGTGAGGTATTTTTGGTGGAAACAATGAGGGTTTTGCAGCGAAACGCTTTCACATCTGAAGTGAGCAGTGATGGCCATCCAGTGTTAGGTCGGCCTGCAACCAGAGCACAATTGATATTCGTTCGAGATGTTGAAGCCTCTTTTGGAGAACTCAGGTTTGGCTCAGGAATGTTTAGTGACCACAATCCAGCAAGATATGAAGCGAGCCTTGCTGCACTTGCCCGTGGAATTTTGGATGAGTGATTTGTTTTGACTTCATGCCTACAACATAAAGTGATGCTTATATGATCATGTATTTATGGAGCCTCGAAATACCGGTTCCATTTAGTCTTCGTGGTTCTTGAATAGGTAGTGGACGGAGAAGAGTGATCATATACAGTCGAATGCTAATTTTGGAATAAACCATGCAATCCTCAAGATATCGCCGCTTCAAATGTTCAGCTCGCACAATATTCGCGGCTCTCTCGTAGCATGCCCAAGAGTAGCCCTGATAGTGCCACCCATGGCATGAGAGCCGATACTGGATACAAGGATCACATGGCTCGACTTGTATTCATTGAACGATACGATTAATAGCTGGTCTGATGTTGGTCTCTGAAGTTCATCTCGCGTTCGATACCCAGTCAGAGCATCTCTTCTCGAACGTGATCCAGTCTTATTTGGAGACTGTTCGTTCACGTATGTCTTAGTATGGTTAAGACAGCTCTGAAGTCACCAACAGAGGCCAGGCGAATTTTGCTTACCGCACCGCCCTCGACGTAAGGGAAAATACAGCGCAGCTGGACCTTACGCCATAGGGCTCCGCATAAGGTGACGATCAATCGCCCGGACATTCGTCACTTGAATGCCAGTCCATCGCATAAGGCTAGCAAGCAGTAATCGAACCAACCAAGACATTGGGCGGTGGCATTATCTTTTTGAGCTCGCATTCTTTCAGACTCAATCCTTCACTTGTTGTGCGGCGGCTCCTTCTTCGGCTCACTGAATTGGTTCTGGGTTCTTTCTTCGATTCTAGCCTCCAGATTCTGAAGCTGCTTCTCCACGAGTTCCTTTTTGGCCATCAGGTTTTCTCGCATACCTCTGAGCCCGGTGATTCGCTCATCGATCGTCGGCTCAAGTGCCTTTTGTTCTTGGACTTTCTGCGGGTGAAAGAGATCATCAACAAAGAGCTTCCCGCGATCAAACTGGGGTCAGAGCCCATACCTGTTGAAATTGATGTTGGGATTTCTGCGAGGCGCCAAAAAGGGTACCGGAGATAGTGATGCAAATCACGGCGCCTGCTAGGGTAGCTCGTGGGATATCTTTTGGCATGCGAAACATCTTGAAGGTTGGAGCACTTCCACGTCTTACGGTAGTGGGAAGTGAGATTGACTTCAGCGTCGATTGAGAAACAAAGCTGTCGCAAATACCAAAATCACGAAGAGGAGAGGGGGCGAAGGCGGAGCATAGCAAGTCGATAACTTGCAACAAAGAGCTCCGAAGTCCCCGACCGGCGGAAGGGTGTCAAAAGTCGGCGCTAACCCCAAACGGGGCCAGATGGGCGGGTGCCCGGCAGGTCCAGAGTTTCTTTGTTCCCCTCCAACTCGCGTCGCGTCCGCCCGCGTGGCCCCATATCTTTCTTTATCACCGTTCCCATATCACCCAAGGCGGTGTCAACAATCAAAGCTTCTCTTTTCCCCTTCTCTCCCTCCTCCAAATGCGCTGGTGGTAATCGCACGGCGTGCTCGCCATTGATCAAAAATGCCCTCCGGACGGTCCGTTCCTCGCCGTCGCACCCGGTCGGAGGAGGAAGATGATAGCGACGATGCATCATCCTCTTCCTCCGGGTCGGCTCCTAACAATTCAAACCCTCGATCCTCAACCCCGAACAAGCGCCGCAGAATAAGCACCGATGATAATGATCAGCCTGATGAGGAATCTGGACGCTCTGCCAGTGAATCAGGCGATGACGAGTCGAGGGACGAATCATCCTCCTCGGGCTCAGCTACCGTAAAACCGGACCCCCGAAACTCGAATACGAGCCAGCGCTCCAAATCGAGCACGCAAACCGCTCGACAGAGTCAAGGAGGATCAGGGGACACTGCTAGCGAAGAAGAGGATGATTCCGACGGATCTGAGGCACCAGGAGATGGCAATGAGGACGACAGCGTACCAGATCCCACTCAGGCCGGCGGCGCGGATGGCACCCAATCTCCCGAGACCAGCGCAAATGAATCGCAACCTGCCGGTTTGAACGAGTTGACACCGGAAGGTTACAAACCCGGTGCCATCGTTCGCATCAAAGTCACCGATTTTGTCACTTATACATCGGCGGAGTTCTTCCCGGGCCCGAAACTGAATATGGTCATCGGACCCAATGGAACTGGCAAAAGTACACTTGTCTGTGCGATATGTTTAGGACTAGGATGGGGGCCGCAGGTACGAACAACTATAATTGCACGTTCCCTATTGCTTTGTCTAATCAACCTCTACATGTTAGCACCTCGGGCGCGCCAAAGATCCTGGCGAATTTGTCAAGCACGGTTGTCGAGAAGCTATCATCGAGATCGAGCTTGCAGGCGGAAGGCGCTTTCGTCGCAACCCCGTAGTGTCGCGGACCATCAAACGCGATGGCAACAAAAGCTCCTTCACGATCAACGGGAAGCAGGCTTCCCGTCAGCAAGTGTTGAAACTCGCCCAGTCCTTCGCCATTCAGATTGACAACCTTTGCCAATTCCTTCCGCAAGACAAAGTCAGCGAATTCGCTGCTCTCACGCCCATCGAACTCCTCAACTCGACACAGAGAGCTGCGGCGGGTGATGAAATGGTCGAGTGGCACGAGAACCTCAAAACCCTGAGGGCGGAACAGAAAAAGCTGCAGGCAGACAATCAGGGCGATAGAGATCTTTTAGCGAACCTTGAGGACCGACAAGAGATGCAGAGAGCTGATGTGGAAAGGATGCGACAGCGAGCTCAGATCAAGCGAAAGATTGAGATGCTGGAAATTGCTCGCCCGGTCACGCAGTACACGGAGCTTCATACGCAGTTCAATGAAATGAAAAGAGAGCGGGATTCGAAGAATCAAGAATTGGCAGATCTGGAAAGAGAGCTTGAACCTGCCTTGAGGGCCTTGAATGATAGGCAGGACTACTGTGTCAAACTGGATGATGTCATAAAGCACAGAACTCAGGCGTTCGAAACTGCGGAGAAAAAGGCTTCCACTGCCGCTGCGAAGATTGAGCGGTTCGAGGAGCAGTTCAAGGATTTGGATGACCAAGCCGAAGCTGAGAAGAGAAGTGGGCAGAGTCACAGGCAGAACATCAGTAAGGTTCAGCAGAATTTGAACAAACTCCGGCGTTCTTTGCAAGAGGAAGAGCCTGCAGCTTTGGATCTGGACTCCTACAACGAGAGAATTGTAAGTACGCCAAGGCAAATCCAGGGTCCCTTGCTAATATCGGACAGCGGGAGAAACGAACGGAGATCAGAGAAATCGAGGCGCAGGCGAATAAACTCAAAGAAGAAAGACGGCCTCTTCTAGAAGCACACAAGCATGCAGTGGATCAGATTAGGGAGGCAGAGGGACAGCTCAGGAATCTCGATTCTCAAGCTGGCCAGCAGGAATCAAAGCTGGAACGCATATCTGCGGACTCTGTCAAAGCTTACCGATGGCTACAGGAAAATCAGAGCCGGTTTGAGAAAGAGGTCTTCGGTCCTCCAACCCTTACCTGTTCAGTCAAGGATCCTGAGTACGCCCACGCTGTCGAATCGTTGCTACAACGCACGGATTTCACTGCATTCACCACGCAAACCCGGAATGACTTCAGGACGTTGCAGAAAGCTCTGGTTGAGCAGAGGCTCTCAGACATCAGTATTCGTACCTGCTCTGCCCCCTTAGATAGTCTTCGCCCATCCGTGTCCGATCAGCAAATGAGAGATCTTGGATTTGATGGATGGGCCAGAGATTTCCTGAGCGGACCCGAGCCTGTGGTAGCTATGCTTTGTAGTGAGAATCGCTTGCACCAAACACCTATAAGTCTTCGGGATATCAGTGATGAGGAGTTCACGCAGCTGCAAGATGGACCCATAAGCTCCTGGGTGGCCGGGAAGCAGACTTATGCTGTGGTCCGGCGACGGGAGTATGGTCCCAGTGCAACTTCTACTCGAGTGAGACCGGTCAAACCCGCAAAAATATGGACTTCACAGCCGGTGGATGAGTCTGTGAAGGAAGACATAGTGAGGAGGATCAAAGCACTCGAAGATGAGGCCAGCGAGCTGCAGGAGAGGATGAATGGTGATAGAGCCAGACTCGCTCAGCTGGGTAAACGATATGAAGATATCGATAACGAGAGGGTAAGCAGGAACTTCATGCGTTGTGCCACTACCTTCAGTGCTGATTTTGACCCCATACAGAGACAACTCGAGCAGGAGAAAGGCGAGAAGCAAACGGCACTTACAAACTGGAGAGCAATTCCGGAGAGAATCAGTAAGCATAGAGCTATGCGAGATTGGTACTGGTTAGGATGCTAATTTGATTGAAAAAAGACCAGGAGGAACGCAAACAGAGGGAGATCCAGGCAATGATTGATGAGGTGAGATCGAGGGTTAAGGGAATTCGCAACCAACAAGCCCAAATATCGATCAAAAAAGCCGAGGCTGCCATCGAATATGCGGTAAGTCTCGGGACAGCCCTCGAAAATGCACAGCATTGCTAATAAGCAGCAGACTGCGGTCAATGTTCTCCATCGACTACACGAGGAACTCATCAAAATCAAGATTCGTCACATCGAAGGCATCTCCGATCTCGAGGCTCTTAGAGCACGTAACGTGCAGCACCAGGAGAGGCTGAATGCAAAGCGCGACGAAGTGAAGGCTGCCCAGCAGCAAATCAAGGACACCACGGAGCGAATGAAGAAGCTATACAAGGAAGCGCAAAAGATCCTTGCAAATGCTAGCAGACAACCCGATCTGGCTGAATTTATCCCTACTCTGGCCAACCACACCACCGATCAGCTCGATGCGGACATTGATGCCGAGAAGGCGCGCCTCGAGCTCACCCACGGAGGCAACAGCGGCGTGATCAAGGAGTTCGAGGAACGGGCTCGTCAAATCGACAAGCTGCGCAGCAAGCTCTCCGATTTCGACAACAAAATGGCGGACTACAACCACGCGATTAACGAGATCCGCGGCAAGTGGGAGCCCAAACTCGACCGCATCATCAAGAGCATCAGCGATGCCTTCTCCGACTCCTTTGCTCGCATTGGCTGTGCCGGTCAGGTCACCCTGGACAAGGCCGAGGAGGAAACCGGCCCCAACGGCGAGGCTGCCGACACGGACTTCGACCAGTGGTCGATCCAGATCCACGTGAAGTTCCGCGAGCACGAGAATCTGTCCCTGCTGGATGCCCACCGGCAGTCCGGCGGCGAACGCGCTGTCAGCACGATCTTCTACCTCATGGCGCTCCAGTCGCTGTCCGCCTCGCCGTTCCGCGTTGTCGACGAGATCAACCAGGGTATGGACCCGCGGAACGAGCGCATGGTCCACGGGCGCCTGGTCGACATCGCCTGCGCTCCGTCTGAAAGCGGCGGCGGCGGTCAGTACTTCCTGATTACCCCCAAGCTTCTGAGCGGATTGACCTACAAGCCTGGCATGCGGGTTCTTTGCATCTACAGCGGAGAGCACATGCCTGAAGACTACAACGTCCTTAGCTTCGGCGAGGCGATTAACAAGATGAGAGCCGTGGCCGGCCGTAGTAAGGGCAAGGGAAGGGCGATCGACGGTGTCCGAAGCAACGGGGACGTCGGAGTATACGGTTGAATGATCTGAGACATTACCTCGTCCTCCGTCTCGCGCGTATCTTTGGATAGGAGTTCTCTTTCACATCGTTTCTTGCAGGAGTTCGACTCGCTTGTGATACCTTTGTTTGGTTTGGATAGGTTAAAGTTACGACGCCGGGAAGAGGGTCATGATGAATTTTCTTGCAGGTGCCAATCTTGCTTTATGTTTTCGGATGTACATGATAAAACATAGGGAATGGTGGGGATCCCGAATGAGACATTGCATTGTTGTTGTCTTTTGCAAAACCACAATACAGTTACCCTCAAAGAGTTTCTTCTTCGCCTAGGGAAATTAGGAGGAGCTTGATCACAGAGATGTAAGCTCGCTATCTACATCATAGATTCTGAGCGCTGCCAACCTGTCAAATCTATACATGCTTTAGTGCGGTCGAAAGGTATGAAGGCATAGAAACCAGCTGTCTAGGACGATATCCTTCTGTAATCAGTCTCCTTCCCTACACTCACACTCAAAGCCTTGGTTGAGCACATAGTAACAGGCAAGGCTTATTCGAGTCAAAGTGAGTTCTCTTCTCTCTTAACCCCCTCCTTGATATTTTCAGGAATGGTTGAGACTATCAGCTACCGCTTTACTATCCGACGGATCCTCGCCAATCCATAGAAATACTCTAGTTGCTTCAGACTCGGTACAGTCACAATTTTGTTGTGTCCTCTTGGAGTTCACATGGGAGGTGCTCCCCCCCCCCGATATCAAGATGGGAAAGGATATACTCTCCCTGCGCACACAGAACACAAATGAACAATGATAGGGGAAAGGATTTGAAATTCTAGGTTTTCCATAGAGCACTTTTCAAACCGGTCCGGTTGAGCAGCAGGGTTATCCCTGTATATTGGCAGGTGTATATACATGCCACTGCACAGGTGTGACCGCATGCGCCATGAAAAGAAGAAAGAAAATGCACGTTGTGGACATGCCTTTCTTACTTATCCTTTTATCGATTGCGTCAATTCATAGAGAACTCTAGATTGCTGTTTCTTGTCAATCTTAAGGCTGTGTTCACCCAATACACATGTCAACCTAACCCGGTCTTTTCAATGAGCCGCAAGACGGCTGTTATTCGGCGGATGTACTCCGTATACTGTGAGTATATCCCCGAGTTATAGTACCTACCTACCTCCCTGCACGGTATACGCATGACAAAGCCAGTACCCACCAATGACAAGATATGTCAATACAGAGAACAGGATTGGCACAGCCCAGACTGAACGAAATCAATCCGTCGCGATGCACAACTACATCATGATTATCATATCCTCTCGCTCAACATCTCCCAATCGATCATCCGGTGAACAGCATCCAGAAGAAAAAGAACTCGCATAAGACCGTCAGCAAAGATCGGCCATCCCACATCCAGCCTGATCGCCTCCCTCCCGGCGCATCAGATTGGGACTTTTTTTGGTTGCTGCTTGTTGCATACCGCGACAAAACTTGCTCGGATAGCAAACACGGCAATTGCATGGGTAGTATAAACCAAATTGTCCTCCAAAGTGTCCATTCGGCCCAGAAGGTATGGTGACAAAGTGGGTGGAAGACTGGACTGGACTGGACGACGACGACAACAACAACAACAGACGGAGTTTTAGTGATCACCGCGCAGTTACATTGCATGATATTCGACGATGAAAGGTTATGATCTACTTTCTCAAACCCTTCCCCTCAACACACTACATTTCAGTTGTCCAGTTAATAAGGATTTGGATGTGATAGCTCGGTTCTAGTACAAATTGTTAGCTAGCCAATCCGATGACTACTCATAGAGTCATTACAGTGACCAAGTCCCAGGCAAGATCAAGCAAAGATAAAAGGAAAAAAAAAAAAAAAAAAAGACACAGCAAGCAGGCCCAAGGATGATCATCCGGGGATGATAGGTTGGTGATCTGATCGCCCATCCACTGTCTTTTTCCCCGCATCATCCAACTGGAACCGTCCAAGCATTTCCAATCCTCTCTTCTTACCTTACCTACAGCACAAGTACAGACACTACACCTGAAGGGCTTTCTGGTTCCGGCGCTTTTCAACCTGATTTCTTCGTTTTTTTTTTTCTTTTCCCTTCTGCATACACACCTCATAAGATTGACAAATCCCAGCTGTGGGTTCCCGTCAGAAAGTTGTCGGGAATTTCCGCTGCGGTGATCCAAAATCTCAATCTGAACTTGTGTTTCTCACTCTGCATGCATGCATGCGTGGAGTGGATCAATCACCAATGTAAAAGGCGGTTTAAGTAATACACATCAATGAGACGGTCATAGGCATGAGGTAAAACAAAAACAAGCAGTGTCGGCAAAACAGAAGAAGCAAACAAAGGGCGGAGGCAGATGATGAAGAAACACTACTGCTACTACTACTTACATAGATGCAACAATGACTACTATTACTATCACTACAGTACTCAAGAGTAGTAAACAATCACAACCAACCCAACAAACAACCAGCCAATTTACCTATAACAATGGTGCAGAGTATCTACATAGCGATAGTATGCAGATAACTTCGTAGAAAACAAGCAAAGACAAAACGGGACGTAGGTCGAGTAATTTGGAAGCAAAACCCCCCCCTACCACCCCCTTGCCCCCGCATATTGATCCCAATCTCGCCCGTTCCAACCCGCCGTCGTCGTCCTTCGTCGGAATTGCAACCTATCCCCAAGCTTATAGCTATGAAATCTTTCAACGTCCTCAAATGAATTCTCGTCTAGAGCCGCTGAGGGGGGGGAGCTAAGTTCCCACTTCTGTCCCATGCATGCATGCAGCAGCAGAAGGTTTTCAGACCTCTAAAGGATGATATCAGAAGTTCAACGGACCCCCGGGCCCCAGGCAGTACTGTACATAAGGTGTATACTTTACCTCTCAGTAAGTATGTGCTGGCTACTATAGAGTTTCCAAAGTTCCTGCAAAAGGAAGCAGAAAGCGCTGAGATCGACACGACCATCGCCTCGATCGGGTGTGCGGGGAGAAATCCGTGATTGGTGCAATAGTCTGCGAAAAGAATCTTGTTCGTTTGGTCCGCTGCCAGCCAGCCAGCGATCCCGCCCGTTGGGAAGCCGTTCTTTTCTGGGGGATGATTTCATGATCGAGTCGCGTTAGCCCGTCTGCAGTGCAAATCCCTTTTTTTTTCTCTTCTTAAGACAGGGGCGGCGATCCGGAGTCGCCGAATTGAGGGGAAATGACCAACAAGCGGTAGTGGGTGGTGGATGAGGAGAAAGTATTTTCTATGGGTATGAGTACGTGGTGATAGGGCTAAACTATGGTGTGGAGAGTGGAGAGATTCTATACTACTATGGAGTGCAGCATAAGATATGTTCGTTTAGAGTCGATCATTGTGTTGGGTCCTTGACGCTCTGGGTTCAACGGTAGGTCATGGTTTGATGACTATTTTCTGAACAATAGGTTCCGTAAGATGGCCACTTTGACGTTGGGTTGGTTGGTTGATCGTAGTTAGCCTCTAGTTCAGTCGTCACTGATGATAACTTATGTGAATCTCCCTCCTATTCTTTCTCTCTGACACGCTGTTAGCTACACTGACAACGGCAGAATCTTTTAGTTCGTGGCAAACTTCTTACGCACCTTTGTACTCATACCGAGTACTATGCTTTATTTCTTACTGATTGACGGGTTGTCCACCAACCAACCAACCTGTTCATAAATTGGGGCAACGGGAGAAGAGACGGGAGGGGGCAAGGGCTATAGTATATCTGAAATATAGAGGCATAGATTAACACCTCAAGATAGTAGCAAGGGCCAGTCCCCCCCCCCCCGCCAACGTGGCAATTCGCGGCGAGCCCCAGAGGAGAATCATCTCCGTCAACGAACCATATCCTGTTTGAAATGAGAGGTTATCATCACCTTTCAAGGCAGAGAGTGAGTTTCGAGTTTCGGAACAGTGATCGATGGGCGCATGCCGTGCATGGCTGTCTAGAGCTGGCCAAAGGAAAACTAACTTCAACCACAACAAGGGCCAGTTCTTGTTTTTTTTTGGACTGACTGCCTTGTCAGAGGCAGTCTGTGTGTAGTGCTTCCATGACGTGAAAGTCAGATTGTTATGCTGGGGAAGGAAGGGAAGAGGGATGTCCAAAGCGCATGCATGGACCGGACTGGACGAGACTAGACGGTGGTCGATATGGCGCCACCGTGACCCGACCCTGCTTCCCGGGAGAGTGAACGATAATCAAGGCACTGGTGCAACAAAAACCCGGAGTCTCGGGTCCGTCTAGATGGGGAGGTCCATCTCTCTAGTATCTACTCCGTACCCTTGTTGACCAGGCGAGGGACGGTTGGTGGGTGAGGGTAGGAGGGGGCCGATCCGATGGGGGGGGGGAGGGGAAAGAGCAAGATGATTCTCACACCAACAGACTTGGTCACTGCTGGCATTGTCCTCCCCTCCCCCTCCTCGTCCTCCTCCTCCTCCGCGTCATGGGCTGGCTCGCTGCTGGCCATCAAGAACGCGGAAAGGTGGATCTTCAAACGATTATGGAATTGGCTAGTCGAGGCGAGCAGATGGCAATCCCAACATGGTTTAGTCGTGGATTTTAGTACCAACGGCTTTGCCCCCCCTCTCCCCCTCTCCCCTCTTTGTGTTCAGACAAACGATCGATAAGCGAAGACACTAACTGTGGTAGTTAGCACGAGGAGAAAGAAGAATGAATAATGAAGTGGAAATGGCAACAGCCCGTTTTGGATCGTAAGCTGCGACCAAGAAAGAGCCCGCGTCACCACCGCCCTGGTACCCGCTCTCTCTTTCTCTCTCCACTTCTGGAGTTACTCGGTGTTGCGTTGCGTAGCGATGTCACTTCCTTGTTGCCCTAGTCGCTACAACGTAAGAGTAAGAGGAGGGTTACAGTGAGTTAGCGGACGATCCCACCTCCCCCATCCCTTTTCCTTCCATGTACTGGATGGAGGACAGCGACACGGGACCCTGAGCCAATGCAGGCAACCCGGTCGATCAAGGACCAGGCAAAGCCAACCTCATGCAGTGAGGATCGAAGGAAGCGCGGCCGATTGTAACCGTGTGGTAGGTATGTATGTATGTATGTTCAGGAAAAGTTACTCCGAAGACGGGACGTGCACAAGCAACGCCCACATTTGCATACCCAGAACTGCATTCCTCCTATCGACAACTTGACGCTGAACAGCTACAGACCCAAAAACGAGTGAAACACATGTCTCTGCACCGGTCAACACGACCTGGAGAGTCGCGAAGTATGCGTATGCGAGACAATCAGCCATGCGTAGGGTGCAGAAGAGACACACCAGCGGTCAAAAGGAGGCTGAAACAGCCCATATGCGCTCTCAGTCACATCTCCCGTCTCTCTATCTCTCTCGAGCAAGAAAGGCGGTTGGTGAAGTCTGACTAACAATGAGTCATCAAAAAGAAAGCCATCGCATTGAACAAGAGACCAGGTCCCCCGGATCAACAATGGCTTGTGGTTGGCTTGCTCGTTTGCGTGCAACTTCCAGGGTATCATCCTATGAGGGCCTTTTTCTGCGCTGCCGGAGATGAGAAACTTCTGTCGGCAGGTGCATCGACAAGCGAGATGACGGGGTTTTTGCAGCAGCAGCAGCAGCAGCAGCAGCAGCAGCAGCTTCTGTCTGACGTTCGTTTATTTTCCCAGTGGTCAGTGGTTTTTCCGTAGATTTCCCCATGTCCTTCGACTCTGCAGCCGCAGCCGCCGTGAGATGAGCTATTCAAAGCCTCTAATGATCATCTGACATTCGTCTTGTGATTGAGGTGAGTGCGATGCACAACCTAAAGCCGCAGGCACAGCTACACATCTCTCTCTTTCGATCCTGCAATCCTCGAGGAAGACTGTACCGCATGTCACGGGAAGAAGCGATCCAGCCAGTAACGCAGTCACAACTTCATCCTGTAGATGAGAGCAATGGGGAAAGGATATCTTTGCCACTCTGCAATACGGTCGCAAACATGACTCTACCGTCCACTGGCAAGATCTTCTTCCCTTTTCCCCCATAGTAACCTACACTCCGTCATGTTGCCTAATGCGGAGATAACACCCACCATCCATCTCTTGCTTCTGCTGTTTTGCGAGACAAACCAGCCTTCCTCAACGAGATCTTCGCATGCGCATTCATTCTCGTACTCCGAAAAGTAGGCAAACGGTGGAAGTTCCACTGCAAGTTTCAAGCCAACTGGTAGAATATAGAGTCAAAGTACAAGAGGCGAGATACGCGGAAGTCGTAGACAGAGGGGGGTGAGGTTCTACTGCGCACGCGGTTGAAGCACCCACTATGCGACAGTTGGATACGTAGTTTACGGGTGGTTTACTGGAGCTGAACCAAGGCCGTTCAACAGGTAAATGGCCGAGACTAGACAATGGACAAGGACTTAATAACTACGGGACCATAAGGCTCATTGTAGATGAGACCTGACTCGGTAAAAAGAAAAAAGAAAAAAGAAAAAGGGCATGGCAGGAGACAGACACGAGAGAGGTGAGAAGGGGACGTGGCTGGAAAATGATGTACGTCCTAAATTGGTCCGCAGAGTCCCGTGTCGATCCTTTTCGCCGGCGGAATAATAGAGAGTGAGGGGGGAAAAAAATAATAAAAAAGAAAAGGCAGGACTGGAGGCGACGATTCGCTCGTAGCAGAATCCAGTCCCAGGTCGTATTGGTAGGCAAATCCAGGAAGAGAGAGGTAGTCGAGTAAGCACAGGATCAATAACAGGGTTCATTATTCATGAGGGTAATTTATTTATTTTTTTTTTTCATTTCTCCCTCTCTTTTTGCTTCGCCTTCAGCCGAGTCGAAGCCGATGGAGGGGGGGGTCGGAAGGGAGAACTAAATCCCTAATCAGCTAGTCAGGTCTCTTCAATCCTCGGTCATAAACCTTTTTCTGGAGAAGTTTTCTGGGTCTTCCACGGGGCACGACTAATCTCCTTCGGGTAAGGCTCCGGCATGCCACGCCGGAGATCTGTTCGTCATTGTTTGGTAGCAACTAATCGGGGGCCGCTTTACCGGACAGGGTAATGGAAACGACCAGGGTGTGTGTGGTTGTGGGTGTTTGAGTTGTCGTCCACAAGGAGGGAGGGGGAGCGGTCGATCATACATGACATTTTTCCAGGTGGAAAAGGTTATGGAGAGTTTAAAACCAAAAAAAAAAAAAAAAAAAGGTACGTAGTACTTGCACATCACTACATCCAGACCGTTCTCATCCCCTCTAGGATCGTTAATCAGTACGTCGGAGTGACTGTCATCCGCCAAAAAGGAGATTCAGAGAATGGTCCCGCCAAAAAAGTAAAAATCCCAGCTGACAGGCAGATAACAACTAACACACAAGTGTATGCGGTAAGGGTACTCCATGTGTGTATAATACCCGGCGCGAAGGATGATCGACTTCGTCCCTTCCCCTCCCTAGTACCCGAGAAGGAATGTAATTTCCGTGACTCCTGTGAGCTTGGGAGTTTTCCACGTATAATCTTCGCCAATCTTCCTTCGGCATAATCCTTGTCTCAATACTCGATCGGAGCGAGTGGGTGGGAACCGACAAGGGGAACAAAATAATCTCGAGTCAAAAATTAATTATGATAAAATGGACAGAAGAGGCTGAAGCTATGGCCACCGCACTTTACCCAGGGCTAGAACCATTTGCGATCATACCCAGTAACTTACGTATGACTATCTAAGACTCTTCTCCGGTCCTGATTTAGTTCGTTGACAGCTATGCTTAACGTTGATATTATCACGATCTGCTGACTTCGACCAACTGGCGATAACTCAGCAACGGAATACACTCCTCAATAGGACCTAATGACAACTAACTATAGTCTATAGTATATCAAATTATGACTTGACAGCTTTCTTTCCCCCCATTCCATTCCCAAACTTCAATTCAACAGACTTTTCCCAACAATTGGATCATAATTCTCCGATCTATACCTGACTTTCCAGGAACCCAATCCTCTTCAGACGCACGTCGATTCACAGCACTCAGTGTATGCACATCAACCACCAACTTACCTCCCCAGCGCGCCGGAATTCCAGTCAAGTATCCACAGATCCAGAACAATGAAACATCAACTTCTCAATCCATGCTGACCTGGCACATTTGCCCCCTCCCCTGCAATCCCAATAATCAGACATAGCACATCGCACATATTAACCAGCATAATAGAAAGGAACACCACCCACCCATTTGAACCCACCTGCCAGGCCAAAAAAGGAAAAAAAACTCACCAGAAATTTCATTTCAC